CCCCTTTCCCCCCCAAAAGGGGGGTTTTTTTCAACCCCCCCAACCCCCCCCCCCCCCCCCCCTGGCTTCGGGCCTGGTTTTGTTGTTTTGTAGTAGAAAGAACTCGTATCAATTTTAGTTTAAACACAAGCAAGTGAAGCAATGTTATCACATTACACGATCGAGGCACAGTGCTTATACATTGGCTCTTAGCCTATATGTTATAAACGGTAAATTTTATCTTTCACTTACATGTGATGTTATTTTATGTAGAGCACCACTAACAGGAATACACTGTACAGTATTATGTAGTAAAAGTGGTGATTTTAAGTTGCTCTCGATTATTTAAAAGATTAAAATGAATATTTAAATGATTTGAATTAAACGAAATAAAGGCAATCCTTCCCAGAGGCGTGTACCTTTTTTATACATTATTCTTCAGCTGAGTATTTACCACGTTTGATTTGTCGTTTTATTGGAATTGCTAGGAAACGAGGAAAGAGAATGGCTTATCTGAAATTGAAATACTGTTCTCATTTGAAAAGTATTTCAATTCCATTCTGATTATCATTTTTAAAGTTATTTTCATACACATTCTGAATTTCATTACACTTTTGATCAATTAAGCTGTATTTTTCCAGAAACAGATTGTTTGCGATATTTATTGATACATAAATAAGATGGCTCGGATAGCTTTTTCTTAATAAGTGTGGTATATGTGCTGAAGTTGAGTCATTGTGCCGACATTTTTTCACAACTAATGCATTTCATCCGAATGCTCGCTTGATAGAAATATGAGAATATTTTAACAAACATTTTGCCCCTTTGACTTCTTTTCTTAGAACATTAGACTGCGATCGTCCAATAAAACAAAATATTATTTAGGTCCAACTTAAAATTCTTATTTAAGAGTAACATTCATAGTTTTTTAACCTTCCTATATTTGATAAGCCGACTTGGAATTGTAGCCTACTATGTGCTTGTTTCCAACCAACAAAACTGAGGACTTTCATGAGTTTCGTCCTAAAGTCTAGACTTTGAAATAGAGCAATTGTGGTCGGCAATGTCATTGTCCGTCTTTATTCTCGGTTCAGGGGGTGAGAAATATTCTGATGAACTCCAAAAATGAAAACCCCGCCAAAAGTAAAAGAAGACAATTATCGGACTACCTGATTCTGACATGTAGCACGACAGCGTCAGAACTGCCGCAGGGTTAAAAATGGTTATGATTGTATGGAAAGAATGAATAGAAGGCAACCGAATAAAACACAGAAATTTTATAGCATTTACGTAGCTGCTTAACCGAAAGCGTAATAAGAGATCCGTCAAATGTTTGCAGCAGTCTTTGAAGTGATAAAGCACCAATGAATTTCCATGCATAGGTTATTGCTTTTTAGCACAATGTTCGTTAATAAATTATTCAACCAGCCCGACGTAAAAACATTTTTCGTGTATTCCATGATATTTAAATTGATGTTTATTGAGAAAAATGAAGATCGTAGATATATAATTCAATACACTGCAATTAGGAATTTTCTGCACACCAAGGTGGCATGAACTAGCACCATGTACTAGGGAAAAAACAAAGTTTGCAACGAAAGAGGGGTATTTCGTCGAAAGACTGGCATATAAGTCATGAGTAATTCAAAACATACACTAGACTGAA